TGCGTACATCTTCGATACGTGCTCGACGATGATGCCCATGAGGAAGAGCGTGTTGGTGCCGCATGAGCAGCCCAGGTCTGCGACGGCAAACGTGCCGCCGTCCTCCAGCAAGGGAAGCTTCATCGCGCTCAGCGTTGCTTCCAGGAAGTGCAGCATGGCTCGTGCATGGCGAGCCTACAAAAGCACAGATATTTAGCTAGCTCCATTGTTGATGTCTCATCTTACAAAGCCAGAGAAGATTCCAAGGAACAACACGGGGCAAGAAGAAGTCATCAGTACTTGAGCTTGTGAGTTCTTCAGATAGCTGGTCTCCCCCTTGCCACCTTTCATGCTGAGCATCCTCTCGAGCTTTAGCTTCGTGACCACAAGGTTTTCTCCCTTGACAGCCATGGCCATCTTCTGATAAACTGCACTGAAGGCCTAGGCTTGGAGTTGGGTGTGTGACATGCAGCCATGGAGGGGTTCAATATATATAGTGAAGTGGCTGTAGCAACAAGTTACTGCAAAAAAGCATATTAATGTTCCTCACATGATCTCTAATCCCACAAATTTCGCCGGACTTCCATTCTGTGGACTGCAAGGAATGGCATAAAGGACCAAAACTATACCTTTGTCTCTTGGAGCATTCATGAGTCTGGATTCTCGAGTAATAGAACCATAGCAGTTAGATTTATCTTAGGTAAAGGGGCATAAGAACAAGTGAACCCACATGGATTCATGAACATACAAAAAGCCTTCATAGTGATCTACAGCACATCTACCTATTGCTTAACATATTGAAATTGAAAATTTTGCAGCTTATTTTTATAATTATTATAAGGATAGAAAAGTGGCATCGTGGTGTGGAAAAATTTTGAGGTGCTAGTGATGTCTTATGATGAAGTCCAAAGTTGGTGGAATCAAATAAAAATTCAAAGAAAAGTGATTTCTATTTGTATTGATGATTTTTCATGCATTGTACTAATGATTATTATGCATAAAAGAAAAGGAGTAAGCATTAAGAGCAAGATGTCTTGCTAAATCAAATCATTAATTTTCTGAATGAAGATAATGGAAGCCCTATAAGAATATATATACATATATATAGATGGGAAATAACAAATCTAAAATATATATGATTTGATTTGTGTACTAGGCATTATTCCATTAAACAAGGTGGCATGGACACAAATTGTTCCTAGTAAAAAACAAAGGAAAAATGAGGCATCATTACATGCAGGGACTAATTAGCATTTTTCACTAACACATGTCATCATCATTAACTGAAATGATAAAAAAAAATGAGACCCATAATCGAGCCTAGTTTAGCTTAAACCCTTCTAAACTGAATTCACTCACTATCAAACACTATGTTATGATACTGCACATGTCATTGACTGTACAGAATTGGCAGTAAACAAAAGTTCCACATGATTAGCCAAATCCATGCCCGAATAAATAAAACATAAGAAAAGTAATTAAGACTATTAAAGTACGAAATTATGCTCGACCCAGTTGCATATATGATGGAGTTTTGCTGCGTAAACCATGCTTATTGATGAGGAACGGGATTTGTGGAATACAGCCGGCCTACCTATCAATCCTAAGAGAATAAGAAAACCCAGAGCTACTTGTGTTTAGGTCCATTCTAAGCATCAAAAAGACAAATAACTGGTCTATTGCACGTTGTGTTGTTCAAGGAGAATACATATCTAAGATCCTGGTATCAGTATGTAGTGTGCGTAGATCAAATTGTAGGAAACTAGGAATTGTAGGCTGAAGTGACCTAAGAGAAGAGGCATGCCTTGGATCCAGCAATGTGAAGAGTTGACCACGTTTTGTCTGTTATGGACTGCAGTGTTGAGTATCTTATCAGCATGATTTAGTTGATGGAGTTCAACAGTGATCAGCATGGTTTTGGTTTACCCATGGAACAATCAAAGTCGGACTATGTGAGTTCAAGATTAATTGCTGAAGTTTGTAGTAGAATCCTAGCTTTTTGTCTGAGATTTGACTAAGTAATTCTGAGATTAAACTGATAACAGTGAAGAAGTATGTGAGTTCAAGATTAATTGCTAAAGTTTGTAGTAGAATCCTAGCTTTTTGTCTGAGATTTGACTAAGTAATTCTGAGATTAAACTGATAACAGTGAAGAAGTATCAGAAAAGTTCTACTGCTGCACAAGTATCAGCCGTCTGGTAAAGCTCTTTGGACATTAGTTTTTTCTTACCCGATAAAGGAAAATACACCTCTCAGATGAACAGAAGCTAATGTAGCCACTATCCCGGTGGAATAGACCAAAGTACTGCAAATTAAGTCCTGCAAAATAGAGGAAGCATCCAGAACGTACATAAATGACAAAAAAAATGCATAAGAAACCTGTATAAAGCAAGCTCACGGATGTACTCCGAAGAGGAAATGATGCAGATACAAAAGGAGATGTGAGCTTGGGGGTTCAGGAATTAGGGATCTTAGTACCTGTGGCAGAGGGTCTCTTCTATAGTAGGGCTTCCATAATCACCTGCATCCCATGAAAGCAAACATAAAAGATATGGGTGAATAAATTTTGATTGAAAGATCCGATAGCTCTGTGTAGGAATACAACTCCAATCAAGATGATACACCTACTGTTGTGCAAGTTAAAGTGGCATCAGTAAACTTGGTGAAACAAAAGAATCAAATCTTGGCATCCCAAGGGATGAACATTGTAACAAAAAACTGTGGACAAATAAATCAAGCATAAAACTCAAGTTGCCAAAGATAGATTATCAAAGTTAATATAAGTCAATACAACAACCCTAGCTCCAAATTTAGGGACTAAAGGACTGAGAGCTCAATAATGTGGACATTTTAATGTACATAATGAAACAAGAATTCAAGTTCTCTACTGACTTGTGTCATGGTACATATAAGTTTCTATTGAAGGTTTTTCAATGAGGCTTTGGAGAAATTAGAAACAGGATTGGAATTTCCTTTAATTTAAACAACTGAATGGTTCGGAATTGTTCTCTTAATGAAATTAATCATGCCAATGAATGATGCATTAGAATCTGAAGTCGGGATCAACATCCATTGCCCAGGCGAATTTTGCAAGCAGCGACTTGTTGAATATCTGGAAACAAAAACATGCCACGAATTAGATATCTAATGAATGAGCTTTCAGGGGATAAAATATTGACACAAGTTGATAATAATACTGCAGAAGCTGATAACGAAGAATATACTTCATAAATGCTTCAGTTCAAAAGCTTAGACCAAGACTTTTCAGAAAGAGAAACAGGAGATGTGATACCTTCTCGATGGGTACTTCATGGCGCTTGCACCATGCAACTGATATTCTAGGATCAAGGTAGTTAATCTTTGATGTCCCTAGTGCAACTGTCTTGAGATCCTCTTTTATTCTTTTATCCAACTCCATTTTCTCTATCTTTGCATCAACCTGCACGAGCTTCTTTTCTATCCTGTAATTTGAAATGCATCAGATCATAGACATCTCAAAAGAAATTTTGAACTGAAGATTATTCAGGATAAGTTTATTACACATCAGGGGACAAGTTCTTCTTCGTCTTCCCTTCTTTATCTTTAAGTGGAGGTTTCCCTTTCCTAGCCCTATTCAAATCCATATTCAACTCGTCTCTTTGGGCCTGTTTGCAGCACATAAATAAAACAATTTTGTTCCATGATAAAACCAAGGTTTGTCGTACCATAGCATGTACCGAACGGTATGTACCAGCCCGATAGCGGACCAGTACGAGTGGTATGTTGGTACGCTCCTATGTCCTATGTGTCGGTATAGCTTGGTGCGTACCATACAAACAGCCGATTGATATACCGATATGGACCAGTAAAGCAAACCATGGATAAAACTACATAAAGAAATCAACAAGGGAACAATATACAGAAATTAGAGAAACAAAAAACCTTTAGGTCATTTATCTTCTCATTCAACCTTGACATCTGACTTTCATGGGACTTTGAGACACTGCGCTGGTGATTACATATAATTGCAACCTGTATTGTAAAAGAATACAGCAACAATGATCATGACTCAGCTGCAACAACAGTTGAATGGATACAACAAGTTGCTGATTTTACCTCTTTGTTGGCATGCTGATATACAGCAATTTTTTCAGGAAGTGTGCCATCCTTGGTTTCTTTATTCAACTGTCATATCATGGAAAAATCAGTTCAGACAAAGTAAAAGCTCCATAGCTGTTTTTCACTAGGCAGTAGGATTATAAATACAGTGATGACATTGTCAAATGAAGTATCAAAATAAACATGTCCATATTTTGTATCTGCAGTGATGTAGCATCACCTGGAAGTAGTTTGATCTGGCTTTAAACTTAAATTCACAATGAGTGGTTATAAAGATTAAATCTTCACAGAAGATACAGTATCAAGTTGGTAAATCAAGTTAAAATTTATGTTTGTGAAGGCACACCACCGCATAAGCATCATTCTTCAGAACTTGAAAATGGAAGTACAACTTACAGTCAACATGGACCAAGAAAACAAAGTAGGTCTTGCTAAGGAAAAGTACAAACATCAGCTTCATGGTTACTATATCATCTAAGGTAATAGAAACTTGGCAAAAGAAGAACAAACATCAGCTTCATGCTTACTATATCATCCAACGTAATAGAAGCATTGTATGTACGGAAGACTTTGGCAGTGAGACCAGGCATGAGTTCCTTCAAATGTGCATTGAGTTTGCTCGTGTCCAGCAAGTCAAAGAGATCATCACCCTTACCCTTTCTACCTCCACCACTCTTTTTAGCTAATAAATTAGACGTACAGTTAGTGCTAAACATATCGGTTACAGAGAGATTAAATGAACTGAAAAATAAGTAGTCACCTCTCACCAGTTTGGAATTCTCCAATCGCTTTATAGACAGGCAATTCAACCTCAACGGTGTTCAAATATCGAATAGAATCTTTACCTAGGAAGTCGAACTGGAGAAATTAAAAAGTTAAAACCATTCAAGGAATGAATCAATAGAAGTGTCTAATTCTAGGCATTCTACCTTTAACATATTGGGAGGGACCAACTCAACATTCTCCACCTTTAAAGTGCAGCAACCAACAGTATCAGCCTCATCATCATCCTGTAGATAGATTCATAAGGCAAAACAATAGGCATTTTAAACCATGGCATCATGTACACATGAACTAAGCATGTATATATGTATATACATAAACATGTGTCTACGTTTTATGTGTTATATGTATGTACAAGATTATGTTTGTATGCAACCCTGATGTGAGCATTTCATTAGCTGCAACAAGATCTAAAAGAAGAGCTCAATACTAGGTAAAGTGTCACACAGACTGAAATGATAAGACCACAGGAAGTACAACCAACTTAAACAACATAAAAATGGGAAGGGAAAAAATTTCCCCAACTTTTTATCATGGACTTCCAAAAATCAGGACCTTAGTATAATTTAGTAAACTGAAAAAAAACAATTTGCAAAAGCAATTAAAAAATATACAGCAGCAATATTTTGATCTTTGCTTTAAGGATCTTCAAGTCCAATCCTCCTGAATTTTGGAGGATGGGCGTTTCTGGCATAGTTCTACTAGAAATTTAATGCTCCAGCTTTAGGTGAACAAAGAACTATGACACAGTTCATTCAACATAAATATATCATGGTTAGAGGAAGTCTACAAGGCACAGCAGAAGAAAACCAGAGCATAGAATTGTACGAGGGTACAAGCATGTATATTTAAAACAGGCTAACAAAGTTAGCCTGACAATATCAAATATAAGAAGGAGAAAAGATTAATCAGAATCATTAACATGAAATCAGACATTCACCCAAACCGCAATGTGCAATAAAGCTACTTGATCAAAAGAAGTGACTACTCAATAGACTGAGGTAACAACAAACAGGAACACTTCAACATAAACTTGGAGATCATGTTCACATGTCCCAACCATTATGTCTATAGTGCAAAATCAGAGTTACTAGCTTCCTCAGTCATTCAATTGTCAGGTAGTATTCCAGTAATCACGAAGCTAATCTACCTAATTATCAACACAACTTGTTAACAAAATTTGCATTGCAATTAACATTCATATGTTAAGGGGTAAAAGATTTATATTAAGTAGTCTAGTTTCGAGCACCACAACTTGCAAGTTAACCTGATAATTGATATAATTGGGAAATAGGGAAGACTTAGAAACTAGCAGAATATATATAAACCACAGTGCAGAATAAATGTAGGATGAAACCATGGAAATTTATCACTGAATAAGCACCTTTTCATTTCCAGCCCTAAGTGCTAGTTTATCAATAAGGTATGTGGCTACTGCTATTTGCCTCTTCGTTGGATCTTTACTGGAAAAATCCCTTGTATAGTTTGCACGAATATTTTGTATACAATCCTGCAAAACAAATGGCATATTACAAACCAATGAACAATGATTATCAACAAAACCTAACCTTTCCCCATGTGTGGCCTAAGAAGCAACATATACTGGTCACAATTCAAACATGCTATCACTTCCGAATCAAAGAACGAGCAATATTACCGTCAACCGTCTGGCTTTCTCATATTTCTCTTTGTCACTTTGCCCTTTCAATGAACTGCTTGCCGCCAAAAAGACATACTTGAACTCTTTTGGATTTATGGGATCATTCCAAAATGCCAGCCATGTAACAGTGTTATCATGCTTCACTTCTTTCCACCTGAAAAAGGTAACTCAAATGCTGACATTTGTATGCCAATTACTAATTTCAGTCTATTTTCACAATTTTTACTAACAAGCCTGAACTAGTCTAGTGACTACCACACTCCAACCTTTGTCCTGTCAGGTTGCATTACCTCTCACCAGGTATTGGACATTCTGGTATCGGTGCATTTTTTCCAATATTAATTGTAATATCTCTTGGCCGAATTCTCTTTTTCAGCTTTCCCATCTAAAGTTACATCGAACAACAGTATTTCAGCACAAGAAAAATGACAGGATAATTTTGATATATGAATTAATGCTGCCAAGCAGCTAACAACAATCAAATTCCAACATAATAATGATGAGAAATGAACCTTTGGGTGCTCTCCTCGGCCTCGAAACAGTCCTGGTGGTTCAACTCTGAAATTCCCAACCTAAAACAGACCTACTTGTTAGTTCTCAGCATAATAAATTAAAGACAAGGATTTGGCACCAAAATTTTACAATACGCATCACCATAACAAAGGTACAATACCAAAAGTCAGACTAACCTAAGGTGAAAGCATATCATATGGTGGTAGCATTGATGAAGAAAGATATCTTGCACTATGTATGAGTTAATTGATTACCGAAACAACAAAGAGATGTTCAAAATAACAACTCAAAGAAAGACTTTTTTGTTGAGAAACTTTTTGGTAACAAAGACTTCTGGCATTCAGTGTCTAGCAACGAAGCACCCACTTGGCAGTAAATAGCATGTTTAAAGCCTGATGAAAAATGTCTATAACACAAAGAACTCATAAGCTCTAGATTTGAGACAAAATTACATGCATATGTTCATTACTGCCAAAACAATAAGAAATAGTAACATTTAAGCCAAAGGTAAAAATTCTGAAAGCAAATTAAGTTTTGAAAATTTTAACAGCATTCCCTATCGATTCAATTACTGGCTATACATCACAGGCCATGTTAGCTATTAGCTTCACATTGCAAATAAAATCAAGACACTAATAAGAAAAATAAATTTGAAGTCAGAACTTAGAATTAACCTTCTCTTTCACACCATCAACAATAGCCCACATGTATTTCTCTTCTTGCTTCATTTTTTCTTCTTTCAAGGCCTTCTTCTCCTGCATCAGAAGCATAGGTATAAAATCAGCAACTCCTACTGAGTATGATGATATGATAAATTTGAAACAGGAGATGAAAAGAAAATGCCACGGATCATTACATTCAAGAAGCAAAATCAATTAATGACAAGTGAGTCTATCCCAAAATATCAATTTTTTCTAAACTATAGCAATGACCACAAAATGGTCCATGTGCCACACAATGTTCCTATCATAAATAAATCTAAGATTATAAATAATAATAGTTCCTAAGAACACGTGAGTCCACTTACAACTATCATATGCATTTGCTATGTAGTAATTGTGAATCAAAATTTGAAACAGTATTGCTTCAGAATGTGAAGTCCATCAGCAGAAAGATACAGTTCAGTTCATAAGTAATAATCCTTTCCAGTTTCTGACAACAATTTTATGCAACTGAATAATTTAACTGGCACATCATTATGGGCATAGGTGATTCACCCCAAGATATCCGAACACGTATATCAGCATTTATTTCAACAAATCACAACAGAGTACATGAATGATTGCAGTGTTATTTTACCTCTCCACTCATCTGCTTCTTCTTTTCCTTCTCCCTTAGATGCCACTCATAGATTGGAGTGAAGTCACAGAGCTCAAATTTCTTAATGATGTGGTTCTTACCGAGTATTTGCCGCCAATCATACATGAAGTTCTCAATAAATTGTTTTTTGGTGGCATACTCTGTGTCCTTCATAACAGCAAACATTGTTGCAACCTGCAACCAGAGAGATTCAGAAGTCAAAGAAAAAAGTTTTAAATTTGTAAGTCATCAAATTTAAAGGCTACTGGTCTATTCTGAAAGTAGCAGAAAAAAATGAAAGACGAGAACAAATGCTAGAATTATACAAGTAATGCAAACATCTGTTAAACCTAACCTCCTCTTGTTCAGGAGTCAAATCAACTGGCTGTCCATTATAGAGCATTTTAACCCCGTGAGGCTTGTATGGAGGGGGGAAAATAACACCATTGTGCTCCAAGGTAGTCCATTTCTGGCCCCCACCAGATCCAGGAGGCACCTTCAAGGTCTTTGAAAATTTAGAATCCTTCATTTTCTTCTTCATTTGCTTGCTATCTTTCTTGAATGATGAAGTCTTTTTTAACAAATTCTTGGTCGTTGATGTGCTGTTAGAAGAGACTGACTTTTTCATTCTTTGTGCAATCGGTATGTGATCATTATCATCTTCTTTTACCTCTTTCTTTACAGCAACTTCATTTTTAACTTTCACAAGAAAAGAGGTTTCAGAAACCTTTGCTTTCTTAATTGATGAAGAATCTGAAGTCTTAGTATCACCTAGAGCACGCTTTTGACCACCTTTGGGGGACCTAATTTCTTTGCTGGCTTCCTTCTTGCTAGAAGCATTAAACTTCAACTTTGGAGACAGAGACTTCTGATATGAGTCTGGATTTTTCACAGATGAACCACCAAAGACCTTCGACTGAAACCTAGAGATAAGTGGTTTTTCATCTTCTGAATCATCTGAATCTTCCTTGATGTTTGAATTCACTTTCATAGATGGATGTGAAGTGGGTTTCGCAGATTGAGGTAACTTCACAACATGTGAGGGGCCACCTGTACTGCACGCTGCTATAGAAGAAATCTTGGAGCTCAATGGTTTATTGTCATCAGAATCATTAGATTCCTCATTTCTAATGATTGACTTGTCCACAATCATCTTATTTGTGTTATTTTTTGCAAAATAATGATCTGAAGAATGCTTGTGTATCTTTTCAGAGTCCATAAAAAATTTCTTCTGAACTGCCACAGAAGCTGAATTGAGTCTATGGCTCAATGGTTTATCATCATCCGAATCATCTGAATTCTGAACTTCAGCAATTGATTCATCTTGATGTTGTGGTTTTACATGACTGGTTGTTGATTTACAATTGGAAGAATGTTTTGTCAGGGCAGGTATTGAAGAATGTGAACTTGAGCTTGAAACAAAAGGCTTCTCAATTGTCGCCTTTGCTGTAAGAAACATTTGATTATTTTGCAATCGAGAGTCATAAGCAATTTGACTAGATTCAAGACACAAACCATCATGCTTCTGAGGAGCTGTCTTCCTTGAAGCGGAGCTCGACCGAACTTGTTTCGATGAAGAGTTTGACCTCTTAAAAGTAATAGGTCCCTCCTCATCTTCTCCGCTGTCATTCATAACCCGGTTGATGCAACCATGTATAGACATTAGCTAGGGTTTAGCTTCTGTCAGCGTATACCAGGTTCTACCTGAAATACACTTAAAAATTAAAATTTAAGAAACTTAAGCAACAGATGCACAAGATTTTAGTCTACTCACAATAAATGAGAAAAGCTTAGCTTAGTTTCCATCACAAAATTTCAAATCTCAGTTCTGTGAGCCTCTAATCAGTCAGACTTCTTGATTCACATGCTTCATGTTTTAAGTGTTTCTGTCTGTTTAAAGATGGTGGAGTGTACTGATATCACATCTTGGACTCAAGTAACAAGATGTATCATACTGAAGACACTTGCAAGCTACAAAAAAGGAAATACTCAGAAAATGTGAAGAGAAATCCTAGCCTCACATCAATCGCTTCCAGAACACTTGGATCTACTTCTCATGCACGGAAACTTACTGCCCACGATTACACAGACAATTATTCCACATCAGATGCGAAACCCTAAAACAAATCTTGATCGAGCAGATGACTATTACAGAAGCCATACATTCTCTAGAACTAAGGATGCACATCCATGGACTGTCCATGACATGTACGATCAGTAATTCCTACTGTTGATTTAATACACAATTCATCACCAACAAAGAAACGACACGCCGAGACTGAATACACCAAGAACCGAAGAAATTTTCTTCCATCGACCGACAAATCCACAGAAAACACAACAAAACCATCAGATTACGGAACACCGATCGAGCAGAAACCGATAAACGCCACGCGAATCGCGGCTTATAGGAGAACCAACCAGAATTGTTTCCCTCTGAAGGGGGGCGGGTGAGGAAAGGGGAAGGCGCGGCCGATCGAGAAGCGATTTATGCAGCGAGTTTGAGCTTCGGATCAGGAAGGAGGTAAGGTTTCTTGGAGGGCGTAATGCTCCCGTTCGCCTCCGCTCCTTCAGCTCGCCTTATCACTCTCTCCTCCCCAACCCTCTCTCTCTCTCTCTCCCTCTCTCTCTCTCACCCTTTTGGCCCTTCTCTTTTGTTGGCTGCCCCAAATCCAGACAGGACTCCGTCGCTTCTTGATCAACAATATTTCAGAAAACACCCTCCGGTTCATGAAATTATATACATATTTGTTTTTTTTGTCTTGGACAAAATTATCCACCAAATTACGATTCGGATCGGGTTGGGTCAGATTGAATCTTATATATTGATATTAAGCCTTATTAATTTTTTTATTTATATATATGTATATATATAATATTTATAAACTTTGTAACGATAAATATACATATATGTATTCCTTTGATAGTGTTAGGGTAGATTTTGATTATCCACAAACTGATTTGGAGCTAACATGGTTCCTTTCTCGCGTATGAATCTTGTAAAACTATGTTAGAACACTCCTGACAATGCCCTTTTGAAGCCTAGGTCAGTTGACATCGGATAGATCAGACTTAGTTGTTCAATTTCTTACGATATGTTTGTGCACCCCTTTTATAGTGGATGTTTTAAATTATTTACACCAATTTATTGTGTAGTTTATATATTAATGGGAGTGTAAAGTTCGATCATAATTACCATCAGCTTGAATATGGGATTATATAACTATCTTTTATATGGTATTAATTGGGCATCACCCAATTAGTTTTTCTTTAAAGAGGGTCAATATGTTGAGGTAATAATGAATAATTAACTAAGTACTCCATCGTGTCAATCACGTCAAGCCCATTGATTGGCTACATGGAGCTAACATGTCCTTGTTGTAGAAATGATGTCTTAGTTATATGAGGCCAATGCATATTTCTCGTGGAACTCATGTGTCGATCATGTGGAGTCGATTTGTTAAACCAGTAGCTCGATCGTGTTGGTCATAGTAGAGTCAACTAGTTGACATGTAACACTGACATATCAATTACGTCATCTTTGCCCTAACAAATAGTTAAAATTATAGATATTCCAAAGTTAACCATTAGTTAATTTATGTTATTATCTAAAGTTAATCATTAGATATATATATATATATATATATATATATATATATATATATATATATATATATATATATATATATATGCTATTTCTACACTTTATAAGGATATGTATATAAAAAGAAATTATTTTTTGTCTAATCCACAATTAAAGTCTAGCAATCAGAATCTTAAATTGGAATGGATAGAAATGGACTAGGTCAACCTCATGAAGTCCATTGAGAAATCTTATCCACATTTTTCACATGCATGAGCTTTGGAAGAGAAAGGTGTCATACGATCCACATCCACCATTGACAATTAGTTTAGCTCATGTGAGTAAATTTTGACTTGATATATACTGTTTGCAAGTAGACACTAATTTAATATCCTTAAACACATACTAACCCTTTTTGCCTTTTGATTACCTAATTTTGATATGGAAATAAGACCAGCTTAGAAATCACCTATCGAGAATTGTGTTCATTGACTTGGACTTCTTCACAAATGTTATGGTGTTGTTGAGAAAATATTTTAAATTTATGTCGAGAAAATATGTCTTTTAAATTACAAATATAGGCTAACTATGTTATTATCTTTATACTTTAAAAGGTTACAGTGACATAATTATGGAAGTGAAATAATTATATCTATTTATCTTAACGATATTATATTTTATCGATAGAAACATGAAAATAAAAAGGTAAAAAGATAATTTTAACGTTCGGTTGTGGACGACGATGTTGTTGGCGTATGTGGTGGTAGACCCCTCCCCCTGCCCCTTGGTCCCTGACGTTAAGCGATTGTCGCCCTTCGCCTCCTCAACCACTTCGTCGTTGTTATCCCCTTATCTCCCCCCTCATTCTTCCATTCTCCTTCTCCACCCTTAACCCGACGTTGAGCACGTCCACCACCTTTCCCATGATAACTCTGTTACCGCCCTCATTCATGCCTTCTCCCTCCGCCCTGGCATCATTTCCTGGTCTCATTGCCTCACCTGTCCTCCCTTTACCCTCCTCTCCAACTTCTTCATCGATTGGACCTACTACCTTGCCACCGATCTCAGCATTCCATATGTCATCTTTTATTCATTCGGCATTCCTATCCTTTGACTATGTTTGGTGACAAATGCTCCTCGACGGAGGAGGCGTGTGTCTGCCATGGCTGGTGTACATTTGCTTCGAGAGCTAGTACACATTGATAGAGCCCCAAATAAATGGGATTACAACAAGGCTAGAGAAGAGTGGGGTTTGCTTCCTATGAGCACTTGGCGAGTCAACGACAACACTGGAGGGGTTCCGAGAGGGTGAGAGGGATGGTGGTGCAAGGATGGATGCCACACAGGTGGCGATCTTGGGCCACACTTAATGGTTTCGTTCTATTGGGAAATCTAGGGCAGCATCATTTGTGCAATGGAAGAATAGAAAACACAATCCCAGAATTTTTCGTAAGAAAAGAAGGTTCTATCGTCGTGCAAAGATTAGTGCGCAAAAACCCGTCAAATAAAAAACTACGCATATAAAAAAGATGTGTTACATAAGGAAATTATATATTCCTATAAACCTACTGATCTATGAGAGAGGATGAATGATGTCAACTATCCTCCTCTCTAGCGGTCACTCACATGACAAGGGCTACGAAGATGCTCCTCAAATTGCTACACAAACCTCCTTTTCATGTACATCACAGGATCAAAAAGTGGTCTACCGTTCTTGCTATGCACACACCCCAAGCTGCTAGCTGAGGATGAGAGATGGAGAAAAGAATAAAATGTGATAGACAAAAAGGGGTTTAGCCTATAACTCTTTAATTCCCTCGTATTTATAGATGTCTCTATAAACTTATAATATTTCTATTCGATACATAAGAAATGATATGAAATACATTATTATTGCATAGCTACACATGGTTGACTAGTCAATCATCAAAAGACATGTTGCCTGTATGTGGCCAACACGTAGCAATTGGATCCGAAGATATATAATTGTCATGAGTGACATGTGGTTGAACGATCGATCGTCCAAATCTTATGATCAACACAGTCAACCAATATGATTTTTAAGTGCAATAAACATTATGCTATGCCTCCACCCAACATATCGCACGTTTCCCTTTTGCAATTGACGTTTCTAAGTATAATCGTCCCCTAAGTCGCTTATAAAAGAGATCAAAGTACACCCTTAACTTCCTTTTTGCAAGTTTGGTGTATCGCAAACCTACACTGAGATGAATTTAGAATGAATATCAATTGAATCTTAATCATTTTCTTAGTTTAAACAATCAAAATATGCAAGATCCAAATATTACTTTCCAACTACTATTTGACACCTCATATTGACCTTAAAATAATCTAATATTTTCACCCTTTTTTGCAATAATGATTGATGTGATTTGTCTCTAAACCAAATGCAAAATGTGTAGCAAAGATTTTAATCCTTATTATGTATAGGATTTCATTTGTACACTACCATAATTAATATTTGATTATATTTAAAAATATTAGTGGATTGAATTTTTTTTAGGTATGCATGTCTATTCAACTTATTTAAAATAAATATAAATATTATCAATTGATCTGAAACGAAAAGTTTAGTTAACTATATAATTATCCGAGTTAAAGTAAATTAAAATCTCATGAATATCTTATTCATTGTCATTAAGGAATTATTAATACCTAATCAGGTTTAAAGTTCGATCAATTAGTAATTTACTTGTTGGGGTGAGTGGGATCCACTGTTTACACGGTTGGAAATTGCATTCTCGAAGCGCATCCCGTCTTCCCTCGTCCCTCCATCCCGTGATCGAGCGAGCTAGCGCCGACACGGGAATTTCACGGTGCTGTGTAAAGGCATGGTTGGAGGGGATCCTAGAATGGGCCAGCTGTTGGGCGTGGACCCCATCAGTGGGGCTCATCTGCCAGCCAATCATCCGGCGAGGTTTCCGAGGGATCTGTGCGCGGGGGATGGGTACGGTCACGTGCGTATCACGTGACTTAGTATAAAGTTCGATCCATTCGTAATATACCTCGCTGGGGTGACGTGGATCCGCTGCTTCCATTGATGGAAATTGCAATGTCGAAGCTCCTCCCACGTCTTCCGCGTCCCAACCCAAGTTTGAGTGCGCAAGTACCGACTGACATGGGAATTCACGGTATAGTTTAAAGGCATCGTTGGAGGGGAATCCCATGCGTTCTGGCGGTGGGCTGGGCCCTACCGGTGGGCCTAAGCTGCCCAGCCAATCATCAGGCGAGGCTTCCGAGGGCAGTGAGCTCGGGGGACGGGCTAAGGTCGCGTGCGGATCACGTGGCTATTATTTTAATTCCCAAAAAGCCCTTCTGGAGGGCGTTTTGGTCATTACGAGTTCTCCGCACTATTCTAAAGAGAGACCTAAGAGAGAGATAGAGAGACAGAAGAGGGAGGTAAGAAAGAGAGAGAGAGAGAGAGAGAGAGAGAGAGAAGGGGCGGGCGATTTGAGTTTTTGTTTGTGTCTCCCTCTCTGGAGTCGGCGTTAGATGGTGTTGGGCCCGCCATCGCCATGGTATCGGACCAGGAGATCGCCAGCTGCGTTGAGTCCGTCCTCCGGCAGTCTGACCCCGCCGCCGGCGCCGCATCCCTCACCGGCGTCGTCCGCCAGGTCGAGGCCAAGCTAGGACTCGATCTCTCCCACAAGGCCGCCTTCATCCGCGACCAGATCGAACTCCTCCTCGGCCCTTCCCGCCCCCCGGCCCCTTCTCATGCTCATCCTCCTCATTCCCAGCTGTCGGCTTCCCATAACCCCTACGTTCTCCTCCACCAACTCCCCCTCCAGCAACAGATCCCCCCGCACCAGCCCGCCTCCTCAGCCGGCGTCGCAGCCCCCGTCCCCTTTCCCCACCAGCACCACCCCGGCGTCGCCTTCCAGTACCCCCCGCCCCCACCACTTCCCGCTGCTGCCGTCGTGGCGGCGTATCACCTTCAGCAGCAGCTCCACCAGGCGCCACAGGGGGTCACCACTGCTGTTCGTCCTGCGCCTGTGACTGGGGCTGTGGGCGCACCGAAGGAAAGGTGCCGTCTTTATGCATAGAACGCATCCCATCCCTCTTAGACGAG